AGTAAACTTTTTCTCTGAGTTTAATAATTGCATACAAAGATATCAAATTTAACTACTGTATTGGGCATTCTTGAGTCTTGGAATTAAATGGGTCCAAATGGAGTTAAATGAATATTGAGGATTCATATAGACGATAAGAGTTGTTTGGAATTAAGGTATACATCTTCAACAACTGTAAGTTTGGAAGTATTGTGTGTCTTCTTATATCTTAGTTCTGATAGTTTAATATTGTCTTCACTATTACAGGAATCTAACATAATACTTATTTTTTCTTAATGCCTTGATCAGAAAGGGCATTCACTCATTCGGGGGGTTTCCTGAAGAGAGCGGGTGCCCAATTCCATTTGCTCGCTGAAGGTCTTTCCTCACTTTTCGTTTGTTACTCCAAGTTCCAATTGCCACAAGTTTTACTTCCACAATCAGGATATCGTGACAATTGGGATTGTCAATGACACTTGAAAAGGTTTTTGTGGTACCAACGTAGGTTGAAAACGGTACCATGGGTGCAGTTTGTTGCTGCTTACGAGACGATTGTGAAGATTTTGCCAATCCAAACAGCTCAATGTATAGGAACTGTATATGCCTTGGAACTCTTGTTCAGAACTTCTTGCATGTGGTATGCTTTTCGACAACATTGTTGTATATTTACCATATAATTCCTTCTTTTCAAACGCACTACTGCTGCTTACACAGTCATATTCAATGGATAGTACCTCTCTTGTCATTTTCCTTTGAATCTTTAACTAATGAGATGATGAAACAACTTTACTATTTCTATAAGGCTCACCATCCAAAGCATTTCACACATGGAACATAAGGAACTAAATATTATGAAATCTTTTGAGAGTATCCGGCAGCTGAACTTATCTGCATAATCTGTTTAGGTATATTTATCACAAAACATTATCTTTGGGTATAGTCTTGTATTTAGATCATCATAGCTTCATATCAAGACCTTTTCATTCACTGAATGGGTGCTGATGATAATTGCTCTCGTTTATTTGCCATAGAATTTTCATAATCTTCATTTTCTTATCCTTCAGTATACATCACTTTTCCATAGAGGAGAACAACATGTCATTCCTTCATCTGATCAAGGGGCTATATCTTTGAGTTCTACAACATCTCTTGATGACTCACTGTCTGACGTTTACCGTTCTCCTCCGAGACCACTGCCTTATGATGCTGATCCAAGATATTTCCGCTTGCAACAAGACGGACAAGTCTCGAGAAGGGAGGAAGGCTCAAGCCACTCACATGAGGAGACTGAACCACTGCAAAGAAGCTTTGACGATTCCGAATCGTTAAGTGATGTAAATAAATGGAGTCAGCCTACATCTGAAGAGGGATCAAAAGAATACAACAAATCTTCTGTGGAATTCTCAACAGCTAAAATGACTTCCGGAGATGCTCATATTTATTATTATTCAGAAGATGAAGATGTCTGTCCGACATGTCTTGAAGGTAAATTTTTTGGATCTTTCTGCTCTACCTCATCGGATGTAACAAAAGTCGTCTATGCATGCCCTCTACAAAGAGTCTTGTAAAAAGTCTTTTTCTATTTCCCCTTATCCCATCTTTGGTGGCATAACCTAGATATTATTTTGTCTAGTGGACAACAGAAATTTAAAATACCCTAGTCACTGTTATAGTTTTTACTTCCAAAATCAATGGTTTGATAATATTTGTTACAGGACTATGTGGTGAAGAATGAACATGACTAACTGTTGAACAACAGTGTTTAATGAAATTGTTTTGGGGCAGTATATCGTTCACGTACTTTTTGGAATACATTGAATGGTTTCTGGGCATTGTTTAGCATAGTTCAGAGGATTTTTTGAATATTTACTTTCATGTGTCTCTTTCAGAATACACCGAGGAAAACCCAAAAATAATGACAAAATGCTCTCACCATTTCCACCTGAGTTGTATATATGAGTGGATGGAAAGAAGTGACAGCTGTCCAGTTTGTGGCAAGGTAATTGTGATTTCGTTTACTTTATATGTGCCGTCTCTTTCTTTTTATGATGCTTGATTTGGTGTACTGGTTGAGCTTATCCTATATATTCTGCTATGCTACAAACAATTCTCAGGCTTTCTGAGGGAAATGTCTGCATGTTTTTATTTTTCTATATTGACCTCTCTGTCTTAGTGACAATCAATTAATTCCAAGATATAGCCGTTATAACTAACTACATAGACTCAAATCCCTTCTTGAAGCTGCACCGATCCTCCCTACACTTCCGCTGTATAAAATGTGGATCCGTAATAAGGAAACAGTTCCAGGAATTTTCGTGGTGTAAAGACTCAAATATATTCGTACAGGTTAAAAAGAAACAGATAATTTTTTTTCTTTTTCTTTCCTTGTTGAAAAATTGATAACTAGGAAAGGGAAAATAAACGGAGGGGTGTGAGAAACTCTATGTCTCCCTCGTTTTTATCAGTTTATGATTCTTTTTCATAATTACCCAGTTCTTATTCCCAGCCACTCTCTTTTGTGTGTCAAAGATTTTCTTCTTGGTGCATTAATAGGCACAAAAAGCGTGAGCTGACATTCTTCAGATTTCTTTCTTGATTCTACTGGAAAAACTAATGATCCATGAGATAACTCATTACCAATACTTGCACAGGATATAGTTAGCATTAATCCTGTCATCATTAGCTTGTTTTGACAAGGAGGACTAGCTCATTGCTTATTTATTTGGCTACCTTTTTCTCTATTTGCTAATTTATACCCAACTGAGTAAACTTAGCTCTCCCTGCAAAATACTGCTTTATATGCAATACCGAGGTTTTTTGTATCATAAAGATAGAAGATATTGGGAAATCTCTAGGAAAGGTTTATTTTAAGGAAAGCAGAGGTGAGGGTGAAATGAGCCGAACTGCAGTCAAGTGGAGAAGGTTAAGTATAAAATACCAAATGTGGAGCGAGAGCTTGAACGTAAAGTGAGCAGAAAGCGTGTCAAAGATTTTATAACTTATAGCATTCGTAGGCTGTCAGAAGCAAGTCAATTAACATTAGATGAATAATAGAATAAATTCTGAGAGGCGTGAGAATCTATTACAAATTGGGGTGATAGAATGATGCAACCTACACATTCCTTACATTTCATGTTCATGTTTGTTTCAAATCTTCTCCTATTTTTAAGAGACTTCGTATATAGCTCTGCCACTAGATTGGGTAACATCCCACGGAGTCTCTTTAAGTGCTGGCAATTATGGTGCCAAATTCTAGTGGCTTGCTATGCAGTTAAACATTTGGAAGCCCACGACTTGTGGCTATTTTAGGGAAATCTTTAAGTTTGGGTAATTGGTCTCTTAAGAAAGTTTACCAGATGGTGAAGAACCATGCCAATCCCAATACCCAGAGCGAGAAGAAAATAATGATTAACAATACCAGTATCTTAAGGTTTTAGTCAACATGGTTTAGTAAACATTTGGAGATGTTACAAAATTAGAGAGACTATTGATGAGGAGATGTCACATGCAACTTTTCTTTTGGATATTGTTTGATTACAAGCATAGTGAGAAAGCCCTAATAAGTACTTTCTTTGAGATGAACATGTTGAGCCTGAAGATGACAAGGTAGTTGAGAAGCTCCCAAGTGTTATGCAATTTCATTAAGGGTCAATGGTGTCTCAGATATTATTGGTGAAGACGTGAAGTTGACTAATAAAATTTTATGGTAGATTCAGGTATTCAATCAAAGTAATGATGAAACATGGCAACTAGTCTGGTAGTTTACCTGGCCTATTGGTGCAAACACTTGGGCATATGCTTGAGCTAAGCGAATTAGTCAATGGCTTGGGTTGGGCCCTAAAACTTGTATGCTCAAAATAAGGAATTAGAGTTTGTTGGGACGTTAAGGCATTTTAAGTCAAACTTCACCAGGCTGCTGTCCAAGGACCCTGACCTGGTGTTGGCTTTAGCCAAGTGGTCCACCCTGCATAGTGTCCTTTGATTCTGTAGGGCTGTTATTGACAATGCATATGGCAGTGTGCCTAAGGAAACTTTGTGATGGGATATAGAGTGAAAGTGATTGGAAGTTTCGAACTGTGGTAATGTTAATAGATGTGTTTAAAAGGCTATGATGAGATTCGTGAAAAGGGTTGGTAAATCTAGTTGATTTCCATCTCTTAGCTTATATCAGGGTTTAGCCTGATGGATAAGTGGTACTGAATTTATTTGACACCTCTAATATAGAGAAAGGATAAAAGGAATCTTGTTAGTAAATTTGAAGGGGACCATGTAAAGGGCCCAAAATTTGTTTTCTTGTTCATGCAATATAATAGGTATGCCTTGGGACTCTTTCAGTTCTGTTAACCCCCCAAAAAAAGAATTTGAAAAATCAATGGGTCTTCTATAGACCAAATACTTCAATTGATTCTAACGTTTCTATTATACCGCCAATATGACAAGAGTATAGGTATAACTCATTCCTTGCTATTGCTTACTCTGGCTGCTTCTCCTCCAAGTTCCTCCTTTTTTTTCTTGAGCCCTGTTCTGCAAGAGCTTTGCGCCTTTCCCTGCTATTGGTTATCCCCGACTCACAAATGTCAGAAGGTTCCCTTTTGCCGAGGTGCACCAAATATGCATATCAGAACTCAATAATTCATATTATAGCCTTGGCAGTAGAAGTTAGGTTTATCAATTTCATTCTCGTAGTCTGGTATTTGATCAAAGCTGTTACTTGTGAGCTAAATGCTAATAGTAGGCTGTGTAGCAATTGGACTGAAGCACAGGAATCATGGATCTGTTTAGTTCTGCACCGTTTGGGTGACAATTTTACAAAGCAAATCCCTTTGTTAACTAGTCAATTATGATGAGCTTGGATGAAAGAAAAAGAATAAAAGAATAGATAGAAAAGGAAAAGGGAGTCAGTTTTGAAATTCAGGAGATCATATTGATTCAGGTCCATTTAGTGTGTCGTGCAGTTATTATTTTCTCGAGAAAGGATAAATTTAAAAAACAAGTCATATAGTTATTATTTTGCGATGCAATTAGTGGTTTCGGTGGAAATAACATGCCCATGCCCTTTTTTAGGTTTCATGTTTGCTTTACTTTCCAGAAAACATGTAAGATATAGATGAGGTTTATATCAGAAGAATTAGATTTCCAATATGCTGCCTTTTCTAGTAGACCACATAGAACACTAGCTCAAGTTCTAAGATCCTTCAGTTTTAAAGTTGTGTATAGATAGATGTTTCGAAGTGTCAATTTCAATCAAATAGATAATATGTGTACACAAACATTGTTTCACTAGGCATTTTGCTAATTTACAAGTTGGCCTTCTTTTTGATTTCTAGGTGATGGCATTTGATGAGACTACCTGATCTTTGCTCAAGAAGTTACAGTCGAGGGTGAAACCAGCAGTAATAGGGGATTATAAAACCGAAACAGATGAATTTGAAGTCTGTGAATACCAGTAAATACGAAATAACTGATAAACATATCCCTGATTAATGCTTGAGTTTCGATATTGTTATGGTTTTCAATTTAACTTTGTACTCCCAGTTGGGTGGATTTTCCAGATAAAGTTGTCACTGATGTAACAACATAGTTCAGAGCTTCTTATCTTGGTATAATATTGCCAAGGTTGTGGTGATTGTTCTTCCATTGTATAGACCACATTTTCTTTTGGAAACTAAAATCCTAGCAAAGTATGTTAGAGATATACTATCAGGGAATAACATGAGGGCAAAAGAAGAAAAAGAAAAGGGAATAAATGGAGTCTACTAGCTTTTATACTCAGGCTGAAACGATTTTAGCAAATAGTATATCACTTTCCCCTGGTAAATAGTATATATTGACTTCGTTCTTTTGCTTCAGGCTTATCGTAATATAGAAGTCCAAAGGTATGCCTCATCCATATATCTCATTCACAAACATTGTAGTTAAACCTGATTTTGTTCCCTTTAAAGAAGAAAAATGAGTTTTTGTAATGAAAGAGTAAACATCACACCTGTTATACTATATTTTATGCAGCTAGGTTCACCAATATTTACTAGGAAGGAAGAAAACTCAGGGGCGGAGCTAGAGTATCCCGAACGGGTTTGGCCGAACCCAGTAGTTTTGGTTTGAACCCTGTATTTGCCTTAAAAGATTTATTGAATAAATATAAATTATTTATTTAGAACCCAATAGTTTAAAACTAGAATTTCGAACCCATAAACTTGAAATCCTGTCTCTGCCTCTGAAAAAACTGATGTGACGGCCCTTATGGATGATAAAAAAACCAACTCCTATGTGCTCCACACTAAGCAACTACATCCATATTGTTGATTACAAAGAAGGAAATATCAACTATGCATAACAACGGTCACCTAGTCTTAAGCAAATCCTACATCGTAATAAGAGAAGAAAGTAACGGTCATATAAGAGCGAGTTCATGATTCAAATGTTAAGCCGCCTTTTGCATTAAAGCTTAAAGGGACAAAATTACAAGACCGAAAAGCCTTGAGGTGACCCAGAGAAGTTGGACCAAAACAGACAATACTTTAGTAGTTGAGATTGAATGTGAGACTATGTTTGAGCTAGGAAACAATAGACTATCACATTTGTAATCTAATTGCAGGTACCTCATGAAATAGCTTGAACAGTTCAAGCATTCATCTCTCATATAGGAAGGGGAATGAAGTCACAGATATTGTTACAAAATGAAAAGGAACAAGAGTTGTATTTTGACTCCCCCACTTATGTTACTATCATCTACAAGACGAAAAAGGAACGAAGACTACTAGATAAGTCCCTATATGAAATTAATATTTTCTTTTGAAGCTGAAAGAGATAAAACATACAGGTAGATCTTACAAGTACAATAGAGCCGTAAAATTGTGATTTTATGTTCATAAATACTCCTGTAGAGGGAGGGGTTTTCACCCTTTATTCCGGAGATGATGAAGCATCCATGGAGGTATCAATGAATTAGAACCATGGCGAGTTTGCCCTTCGTCCGTGCTCGTAAATCCAGTTGATTGAAAAGGACCTCTGAGATTCAGAAATTTCGAACATAATTTATTAGTTAAGTAATCAATATACTAAATAAAAGTCTTGAGTTAAAACCAACTCCTACTAGATATGCGCGCGCGCACACACTCACAAAAAAAAGGAGTTCTAGTAGATGAGTTTTAACTTCAAATTCAAAACTACCTTTTTTATTTCTCAAAACGAAGGAAAAAATGTATATTCAGCGGAGGCAGATCCAATAGTGTCTTGTTTTTTTTTCCAAATGAAGTAATAATGAAGGTTTATCGCAGAACCAGCATAGGAGAGACAACAGACTCTTCAAAAAATTATATAAGATAATATTGTGTATTATAGACTTAACGTGGTCCAATCTTTTTTTGGATCCTTGCATATCGGGAGTTTAATACACCAAATCACTGCTACGCGAAATAATACTGCCATTGTTGTGTGTTTTTGTGAAAGAGAAAGATGGAAGTACCCAATTGTAAGGTTAGGGACATGAGGGGGAGATTGTGATGGAATTTGAGGTAGAATGAAAGGCGTCGAGCTTTGGCCTGGATTCGGTTTCCCCCACTGCGCATCCTCAGTTTGCTGCTTTTCATTTCCTTTCAGCTGTTTACAGTTGACAGTTTCTTGAGAGAAAAAAAAAACAAGGATACATTTCTAAATTGAAATCCAATATTGAGATGTAAAGAAACAGCTTGTAGCGTACCTTCTTCGACATTAAGTGGTTTTGCTCTTGCAACTCTTTTTCCTGCGATCAAGTGCCAAAAAACAATCAGAATGCACATGCTATCTAACTAACATAAGCACTATAATTAAACTGACTTGTCTTTGTGATATTTTCTACTATATTTGTTTTTATCGTATATTTTGAATGATAGTATTGCTCAGAAAATACAAAAGATAGAAAGGTCAAATGTGCGGCACAGAAAATACAAATGAGAGAAAGTTAAAAAGAACCCCATAATGTTTTATGTAAAATAAAAGACAGTACTAAAAAAAGAACATTTAGATGAACAAAAAAGAAGAAAACACGCACTATTCAGCACCGTAAAATTTCACCTTTCGGTCATTTGTAATTTTCGAATAGTTCAGTCACTTTAATGGAGACATATGTAGTTTTGTGATTTTAGTGTTCTAATAGACAAAATCTCATTCCTTCAATTTGATACAGAATAGTTTTATAGCTTTATTGTTATAGTTGAATGAGCACAACTGAAATCAGCTTCCTAGTTGCTATTACCAGGAGACAGTTTTAGTTTACCTTTTTCTGCAGTTGGGAAATGGACTCATGCATCAGTTGATTCTGCGAATTCAAGTGACAGACATGTTGAGATAGACAATATTCTAAATGATGGCAATTCACAAACTAAGAAAGAATTATAATCTGAAAAAGAAAGAGAGGTTAATTAATGTGAATGATATTGACCTTCCTAGTTCGTATTCGCTTCAAAGCTGTATCAAGCTGTTGCTCTAAACCATGAAACTCCCGCAGACCGAAGGAATCCAGATCCTCTCCCATATAATGCCTACATTCAGATAATTTCATTTATGAATGCAACAACGCTACTCATAACCGAGTGATTCTTGATTGAGTTTAATTAACGTCTACGTACTAGTACTAGTAGTGTAAAAGAATTATTTTTGCATTATCAGGTACTTAAAAAGATATAATTAACTATAAGTAATTGCACATAATAATTGAAACTAATAACATGAAAAATATAACATAGGCACTCTATTATAAATTAACAACGAGTTAAATTACAATGATATGTTGTAACGAATCAAGAAGGATTTCCCTTCTGCTTGAGAATTGAGATGAAGTGAAGTAGCTAGGCTACCTTATATTTCTTTGCAGAAGTTCTATCCTTGACATGAGCTTTGGGTATTCCAGAGTCCAGTTTTCCTGCAAGAATCCGTGAAATCATGATCATGAGGCAAAAGGAAAAGCAAATTCACAAATAAATTGTAGTCAATCTATTTCTTCTCAACAGACATCATCAATTTTTATAATTTCAAAAGCCCTTTTCTTCAATTTACTGCTTTAATTTATTTCTTGGCTGCTCTTATTTTAATTATGTAAGTAAATCCACTTGAACAATGGTTGTTAAACAAAATCCTATCGTATATTAGTCAAAATCTAATACATGTAGTAAGGGACATTAATTCTTACCTTCATAGTTAGCTTCAATAGTGTGCTATACCCTTAGTTTCATTTTTCAGTGTTTATTCTTTGTCTATAGCATAGTCGATAAAATAACCCTTAATCATAATTAGTTGATATTGGTTCTATTAAATCCCTGTAACCATTCACGGGATCCGTCTTTTTTAGACTGTTGCAAGTTAGCTATTATCCAGAAGATCTGAAAGTTAATAGATAAAACCTATATGGATATCAATAAAACAGAAGGAGATCTCAAAAACTTTTAAAAACCTCTATAAAAATATACATTTGCCATAGACAACTAAGGATAGCATCATAAGAATGAAGCTTAATACTCGTAACAATTTAGAACTACTACAAGGTTAATTAACATTATTACTTCACATAAAAAACACCAAATTCCTTCACTTAGCTTATAATCCAAATGAATGCATCAAAGAGGAAAATGACTATCCACATCGATTAGCATATCTTCTTTCTCTTTCTTTATCACTTATATATTATCCTATTGAAATAGAAGAATTTTCTTCGACCAACCCTTATGGGAACACAAAGGATGAAAAAAAGAGTAAATACTTATGGGAAATGAAGGATTTGTGAAATACCTTAGGTTCAGAGTCATTTGCATTCAACTTCCTCTCAGCATATGAATAACTTTCGTATCTTTCGAGGATACTTTCCATGCTACAAAATTAATTAACAGAAAATTTAAATTTTTAAAAAAATTACACAAGAAGAGAAAAGGATTAATAAATGAAAAGAGTAGGAATATATTAACCTGGATTCGGTGGAGTACTCATAGAGCTTGCCTTTGGCAGAGAAAACAATCAAAGCAACATCAGCATCACACAAGACGGAGATCTCGTGAGTCTTCTTCAACAAACCCGACCTTCTCTTTGAGAAAGTGACCTGCCTACTAATCTTGTTCTCGATCCGCTTCATCTCAACCCTACCCCTCCCCATCAGAGGCGTGACTTCACCCAACCTATTCATATAGATATATATCATCAATGGAGGAGTCATGAAATCTAAAAAGGAAATTCAAAAAAGACAAATTACCTAAAATTATAATCTGAAATTTTTTGAACAACCTTTGTTAAGAGAATTCAAGATGTTACACAAATATATATATATTTCTACTCAGTATAATTTTCTAAAGAAGAGAATTCAATCGAACCCCTTCTTCCTCCATAAGGATAGATATGTGGAGAAAAAAAAGTCTAGAGACACACAATATAATGTTATCTTAAAACTCACAGCTAGCCTTTAAAATCTGATGAATCTGCGTATATGTTATATTGGAGTACTGCAACCAAAAAGTCAAGAAGAAACCCTAATTATAAGTTAAAGCAGCTAATTCTTCGAGGAAAAAAGGTGCAATAAGGAAATCAAGGTTCAGTATATGTAATAGGTTATTCATGGTGGCAACCGGAAAGCTAAGTAATAATCACCGGAGTCAAGCAGTTAGAGAAGAAGATTAAAGTAATATAATAAGAAGTAAGTATATGGGAGAATATATATAGGTGACTATACTTATATTACGCATCTTGGTATATATAATAGAGATGACGGCACCCTTTACTTCCAAGGTTGTGAGTTCGAGTCACCCCAATAGCAATAGCCTCTAGGGTAAGTTCTGCGTACAAATTACCCACCTTCCCAGATCCCACTAATAAAATTATACTGGATACTGGGTTGTTGTTGGTGTGGTATATATATAATAGAGAGTACATATACGGAGAAGACGCACCAAGAAGAGGAAGGAATCTTTAAGAGATTTGAGAGTCCGTACGTGGGCTGTGTTATTATTGACTCGTGAAAGGAAGGAACAGTCTGCATTAGAAAAGAGTGAGTATTCGTTACGTTGTAGGGATGTGTTGTCGAGTAACTATTGGAGAGGACACTGTGAAGTGACTGTGTAGTTGTTACTGTATCATTAAGAACCATGATTTTTTTGACAAACGTAGTACAAAACGAACGTAAAAACATCATGGGGCACTGTTACAACTTAAAACTACAGCTACCTAGTAGTACTACTATTTTGTAATCTTCGACAGACGGCGCATGAATCTTCCTCATTTAGTCCGAGGGGCAAATAACTGCTTTAACTCTAATATTCATCCATTAGGATCAAATATTAAGTATATTATGGGATAAAGTTACTATTTGGAGAGTCAAAGTAAATTTTTATTTAGTCGTAATTTTTTGTATATGCTTTTTAAAGCATATAATTGTTAATTATTGCTATTTATAGTAATTTTTATCTTACTTCTAATTAAATTTATAAATTTTATATTTTAAAAATTTGAGATTTTATGTTTAAATTCACATAAAAAAAATTAAATGATCTATACTCCGACTCATCTTGCATAGAGTGGGATAGACGGAGTAATTATTAATTGTTTTGTGATTATGGCTATCCCCCTAGCTCTTTTCCTAGTTTGCTGATTTAAAAAAAGAATTAATCTTAGTCTTGAATTAATTAAGCTAAACTATCAGAATAATAAGCGTCTATATGTTGGTAAATAATAAATTGAGTTCTCGAAGATGAGAGTGCTCAACTGCTCATAATATATTCCAATTACTAATATCTTTAGGAAAAGAAACGAATGGTTCCTTCTACTTTCTTAAGAGTGCTATATAGGCAGAATGTTAGAGGGATAGGTATCTCAAGGAGCCAATTTGTGTGGGTAAAGCATAGAACTTTTTAATTAAATTGTCAAAAACAAATCCATGGATGCCCGTGAATTTTTTTTACTTTTTTTTTAATTTTCCAATCAGTATCATACTCGCTTCTGGGCCGAATTAGTGGAATGATCGACTCACCATTGAGAACATTAATCTCAAAAAGACGAATATTGTGGTGTTCTAATAGCGGCAAATCAACCAAGAATTTGATGAGTTTATAGAATGAAATTCCATTGTTTTGCAATAGCTTGGCTTTTTTTTCGCTTCAGCTTTGAGATGATTTTAGCCCCGGGACCGGCTCAATTAGCACCTTTAGGTGATGCTTTCTCGATTAACTATCAAAATTCGCATTAGAAATCTTACTTTCCGTGATACAACGCTCCCTACCAAAAATAAAAATTAATATCGTGACGAGACTGTTGAGTTATTAGGGCTTAATCAGTTCGTCCAAGCTGCCCTTTGCTGATCAACCCAAATAATTTCCAAGGGAATTTACATTATGTTTTTAATGTAATTTTGTAGTTTAACCTCTCATACTAAATTACTTACTATATATTATTTTTATAAGATGACCCATTAATATTTATAGTATAGATTTACTTACCATTATCATACATGATAACTAACGTAAATTGTTTTACGCGGCCGTGCATAAAACATGTATTCTTTTCAAGATATATATGTTATCTTATCATAGTGGTCCGGCATCCTTTTATAAGAGCTGAACAAATAAAAGTTGTTCCATACAAGTGGTCCTTGTTGAGTACGAGAAACAAGTTGTCTCCCAGTAAAGATACTTCACGCACTATAAAAACCAAAAGTTTTAGAATCAACGGGGACCATGGCATCCAAGAGGAAATCAGGCATGTTAGACTAAAATAAAGATATATAGTACAGTAACAAATGGTTTCAAAATCCTTATACCAGACTTTAAGTTGGGGACCATGTAACGCACACCAATTAATGTTAAGTTACAAAACAAAATCTAAGAAATAAATAAGATGTATAGATGGGAGAAAACAGAGAATAACTATTTAAAATCAGTTTTGTTTTATTCTTAATACTTGGTAATAGACATTACTCCGTAAATTCTGTAAAACACTCAAATTTAAGATCCCATTTTATCTTGATTGTAATCAGTTTGGGAACAATATTAAACCATTGGCAGACAGTGGTGCTAATATTTTCTCTTACAATTTATGTATTACGGTTGGTGCTCTGCTTAACCAAAAAAAGAAAAGAAAAAAAGAAAAGAAAAGAGAAAAAAACGAGTAGTTGTAGACACCCTTTCCAAAATTGTGTTCATAATCGTACAGATGTATTGAAGCTAAGAGAAACACAAAAGCCTACTTCTCAATTAATTGCTTATACTACTAACTTTGCAAATTTTGTTTTATTTGTCAATTGAATACTATATCCGTTTACTTTTACTTGACACGTTTTGATTTTTCACCCCCCTTAAAAAATAATAAATGAAGTGCATAATTTACTATGATACCCATATTAATTGATGCATATTTTATTAGATTTGAAAAAATAATTTGAAATGAATAATAAATATTGTGGGTATAACAGAAAAAAAAAAATTGTCTTCTCTTGATATCCGTAAAGTGACAAGTAAAAATGAAAATCTATTTTTAGTATACCTGCCAAATAAAAGTGAACGGAGGGAGTATTAGCGTGACAAAAAAAAAGGCGTATATTTGACTTCCTTTGGTTTCTTCTTTCCCTAAATGTACGAGTATAAAATTCTTTTTATTTTCTGCACTTTCTTTCAGTTTTAAGCATTCCAACAGTTTATTTTCGAATCATTCCTTCACGGGAAAATGTATAAAAAGCTCAATACTCATGAAAGCTAGACAGAATTGAATGTCTGTACAAGATTAAAGTTTGAATTTACTTAACATTAAAGTATATAAGTGAAATTTGGACGGGTTGGGGACTGTAGCTTCAAAGAAGAGGAGTAATTAATTATGTACGGTTGGAGAAGAACAGAATGGAGATTATACTTTCGGGAATAAAGATTACTATAAATAAACAAAAGGGTAAAAGATGAGAGGCTCAATCGGGCAAAACATTAATGTACTCGTGTCTATTCTAATTTTAGTAATTTTCTTTCATTCTGGCCTTTACTGGCGTCGCCCTGATACAGCAACAACAACCAAGTATAATCCCATTAGTGAGGTTTAGGGAGGGTAGTGCGTACGCAGACGTTACCTGTACCTTGGGGTAGAAAGGCTGTTTTCGATAGACCCCCGACTCCCTCCCTCCAAGAACTACCCACCTTGCTCTTGGGGTGACTCGAACTCACAACCTCTTAGTTGAAAATGGAGGGTGCTCACCACTAGAACAACCCACTCTTGACATCGCCCCATGAGAAAGAGAGAAATAGATTGCTCAATTAATAGCATCTCTAATGTACTCCCATTCAATTGTTTTCAAAATATGGAGTCTCTTTGTTAAGTAGTCTTTACCTGAATGTGAGACTTTATGGTACAAATACATATTTTGTCGGGTTCTAATACGAATATCAAACACATGGTAGAAAATCAAAAATGGTTTCTGTTCTTTTTTATAATATATGAGCATCATTGTTGTGGCCAACTTCTTCAGATTCTTCTTTTCATGAAAGTCAGTATTAATTCCTTAGTGATCTTTCTTTCTAGTTTGAGCCTTTTTGTTGCCCGCTGTACAAGAATAGAATGCTACTATGCTATCTATAACCAAGTATGGAAACTTCTTTAGATTCTCTCAATTAGTCGTTGTCATATTCATTATGGTAGCTCATATGCCTCATTCATTTTTTATTTTATTCTTTTGAGAATAATACAAGCAAAGAAACCCTAAGGAAAAGGAACAACACATATATACCTATCTATATTAGGACCCACATTAGGAATTATTATATATTGAAAAGGGAAGAACATCCAAGTTAATCATGAAACTCTTGTACATATACTCAGGGGCGGCGAAGCTGTGTGAACAAGAATAATCAACTCAACACCATTGACCGAAAAATTATATTGTATATAAGGTAAAATATTACTTGTTATTGATCAAAAAATAGACTTTGAACACCCTTACATAGTTCACTGACAATGGATGTTCAAAATATTGAATTTTCAGGTTTCACCACCGCATATACTGGGTGATTGAGATGTATGTCAAATGGACGACCGCATCGCAGTAATCCGATAAAAGAATGTAAAATATGATTTAAGTCATATAGACGGATAGTATAATTTGTTTATTACTCTATTCTCACTCTACCATATTAGCTTAAATGTAAAAATACTCCAATAAATACTATATTCAATAAGAAATTATTAGACAACAAAGCATACAATAATTATGATTTATTTAGGAAACAAGTAATGACAAGTAGCAATTGATTGTAGAAATCGGGGAGAAAATAAAAAATTTAATATTTAATATGCTAAATGTCAAGTAGCAATTAAGACACATAAGTCAAATAAGTATGTAGCAATTATAGCATGAATTCAAGACATAATATTGGACAAGAAATACGAGAGAAAATGATTAACATAATAATTAATTCATGATTTAAAATAATTTATGATTTTCAGATAAATATGCAAACAATCAATTTAACGACGTATAGGCGCTCGTCACCTCGCCTATACGTCGTTATACATGAATTCACATAACAAATAATTCAAGGTTTTATTCCCTCAAGTCAAGGTTAACCACGACACTTACCTTGTTTTGCAATTTCAAGTGATCACTCGACCACAGCTTTTCCTTTCGAATTAGTCTCCGAACCAATCAAACCTATCAAATTATTGGGCAACAATTCAGTTGGAGCTTTAGA